TCTTGCATGAGGTCACGTGTTATTTTTATTTCAAATTGATGATTTTGAAATATTCTAAGATTTATTGTACAAATAAAAGTATTTAACACCTACATAATTTTTTATAGTCAACAAAATGCTTTACAGGTTTTATCTTATTTACTCCTCACAACAAACTGGGAGGGTAGGCCTTTATAGTTCCTGTTTTACAAATGAAGTTTGAGGCTCAGAAAGGTGAGATAATTTGCACAAAGCATGTCAGTGGCAAAGTCAGACTTAAAAACAAGATCTTATAGCTCTAAATCCTAGGCTTCTTAGAAGAGATTTAGTAAACAGGTTTTCCTCACTGTTTTGCATTTATAACATAAACCAATGGAGGTTGAAAGAAATGGTGAAAAGTTTAATGATGCTAAACATCTGTAAATGCAATGTATTAAAAATAACAAGAACAGAAAATCCATATCTATGGGTTTTTCAGTCTGTTGAGCATCAAATCATATTTCCCAGTGAACCATCTGCTTCCAAATTTCCAGCTCCTATCCATTTAATAAGCCCCTTCATCAGTGAAATGAAAAGTACATGCATTGAAATTAACCAAACACACACAGAATTATGTGACTATGTGTGTGCGGTTTTGTGTAAAGATACTATACCTTCTCCTCAGGATGAACTTTGATTGAAAGAAATCAATCAAATTAGCATTCTTATTCATGAATAGACCAGAGAGAGTTAATGTCTCGTCCAGCATCACTTAAGATTCAAATGAATCTGAGTAAAGGCTTTGATGTTTCCTCTTCATCCCCTACTGGATCTCTTTAGCACTTTCATATCTTCCTGCACAGCCAGGCAGGGGTTTAGCCAGAGTGACCAGTGAGAGAGTGTATTGTTTCTTACATGGGAAGGTTTTAGTTTCACTAGAACATCAAAAAAGGGCTGGGATCAGAAGATCAGGGCTGTAAATTCAAATCTGTAAGACTTCTGCCGCAGATGAGGGCTGTAACTATGTGAATAACTCCCATCTTTCCAATGGATGGATAGTCAGTTTGGGTTCGTGCAAAGAGAAAGGTGTGGGGAATCTGGGGCAGAGCTGTGGATAATGCCCATGATGTTTCTCCTCATTAAAACTGCCCAGAGTGAGTTGGGGACAGCCCAAATCTGCATAAAGAAGACAGGGTCAACAGTGATAGGAGCCATATCAGTATTGTCGTATTACAATTAACAGATGATCAAGTTAGAATTTAAAGGGATCATGGCTTAAGGGAAGAGTCTATAAATCTCTACCCAGGTCACAGTAGTAGTACAACCTCTAATTACATGAATAACCCATGGGTTGTTTTTTGCAGTTATGCATTGCCTTGGAAAAATGCCATTGGCATTTTGATAGGGATTGCATTGGATCTGTAGATTGCTTTGGATAGTATGCATTTTAATGCATTCTTCCAATCCACGGATGCGGTATATCTTTCCATTTATATGTGTCTTCTTCAATTTTTTTCTTTATTGTCTTACAGTTTTCTGAGTGTAGGTCTTTTACCTCCTTGTTTAAATTTATTCCTAGGTATTTTATTCAGTAGACAAAGAGAATGTGCTACATATATGCAATAGAATATTACTCAGTTATAAAAAGAATGAAATCTTTCCATTTGTGACAACATGGATGATAGTAGGTATTATGCTAAATAAAATAAGTCAGACAGAGAAGGACAAATACTATATGATTTCACGTATATGAGGAATCTAAAATAAATGGATGAATGAATGAATGAATGAATGAACAATCAAAACAGAAACAAACTCATAGATACAGAGAACAAACTGATAGTTGCCAGATGGGGAAATGGGCAAAAAAGGTGAAAGGGATTAAGTACAAATTGCCAGTTATGAAATTAGTCACACAGATGTAAAGTATAGCACAGGATATACAGTCAATAATAGTGTAATAACCATGTATGGTGTCAGATGGGTACTGAACTTGTAAAGGTGCTCACTTGGTAAAGTATATAAATGTCTGATGTAATATTGAATGAAACTAAAATAATATTGTATGTCAACTATATCTGAAAAATAAATTTAAAGAATAATCTAAAAAAAAGATAATGAAATGCATTGCCTTACATACTTGCCTAGAATGACAGTTACATGCATCTTTTCTGCCCAACCACACAATTTTGTGAAATCTTCCAGATGTTTCTACCCCTTAGGTTGTCATGTCACTACAAGAAAAGCTCTAAATATGAATGTAAGCTTAAGGGTTTCATTGTGCACTTCATCTATCGGATAATTTGTGAAAATATGATCAGTGGAAGAGCCCATTATTATACCATTTCTTTGGAATAATTATTCATTTTCCCATTTTGTTTGATTAAAAAGCCAATTTTATCCATAAGCAACAATTTCCCACAATCCTGTGATAATTCAAAGACCTTCAACCAAATGCACAGATATTTATTGTCTTCAATGTACAGGGCATACAGAATCTTATCAAAACTTGTTGAAAATATAAATAAGTCACGCCTGCAGATTCTCTTTTACTCATATATTAATTTCTCTTTCAAAAGAAGGAAAAGTTAAATAGATTTAAACAACTTCACACAGATACCTGTTTTTCTACATCTTGTGCTGAATGGAGAGGGGTCAAATTTTACCCCAAATCAACCATCCAGCCACTTTTTTTTTCTTCGTGGAGAATATTTCAGAAGGAACAATAATGCTACTACCATTATGTCTTTATGCATAAAAGGGTGGGAAGTAGTCATGCAAGAAAAGCCCTACTTGTAAGTGAATGAGGGAAGATTGAAGAAGGCAAAGTAAAAACATTGCCAAAGTGCATTTTGGAATATCTGTTTATCCAGTCTTTCAGATTCCACAGGAATGTGAGCTTTACGAAGGGAGAGTTTGCTTTTATTCTTTGTTGTATCCTCAGCATCTGGAAGAGTACTTGGTACATATTAGGTGCTTAATGAATAATACTTATACCATAATAATACTTGTATAGTGTATACTATAGTGACATTTATACTGTAATACTTATAGATTTTATACTGTAATAATAATGCTATAATAGTTACGTGAAAATATAACTTACAAAGAAATGAGATAGATATTTTAATTTGGTTTTATACAATGTTTATTAGAGGCATGGATTGGTTTATTTTTATTATATATTATTAAATTAATATTTTGGTATTAGTATTAACTCTTTAAGCTGCTAATTAGTGCTTAGTCCCCTTGTGACCTTTGTGCACCGAGGAGAGGTTGGGACTCTGAAGGTGGGAGAATGAGATTTCTAGATAGTCAGCTAAGCTGGGGGTGCGAACAAGTAGGTGTCAGAAATAACCACCCCCAACACACAAATACACACATACACACCATAGATAGCCTATGGCTTGACCCTAAACCCTAGTAGTTTGTTACTGCTTAAACCTTTCTTTTTGGCCTGCAGTTTGGGTCATGAATTCGAGCTTATCTATCTGTTAATTGCCATAGCAAACCTTTGGTGTCCTCAGCTACTGCACTTACCTCTACTGGTCAAAGGTATGAACTCATTTGTAGCTTTTTCCTCTAGCTCTTAAGAAAGGTTGTTTTATTTACATTTGAATTTACATTTGCATTTACAAAGTAAATGTGACCAAGCACTCCAGTATTAGTTGCAGAGTCTTGGATCACAGGATATAAACTCATATATTCTTCGTAGAAATCTATCTGTCTGATGCTATACCAGCTCCTATGGCTGTAAACCTCTGCCTTCCGGAAGGCTCACAGAAGAGAATGGGGGACGACTACATAATAACAATGCAGTGTGATGACACCTCTCAGAGAGGGGCCTGCAGGGCCCGATGGAGCCCAGAGGAGTCCGTGACTGTCACAGCTGTGAGGCGCTATGAGGGAAGGTTTTGCAGAGATATGAAGGTTTTGAAGATGCTTGGACAAGTCTTAAAGGTTAGAAAGGAGAAAACTGTATGTATGACAGGGTGAGGTGGAGAGAGCACTGTAGATGGCGTTCCTGAGAAAGGGTAGTTTAGAGGACTCGGGGTTTCCTCACCACATTACTGCAATTACAAAAGAACCTTGAAAATATCTGGACAAATGCTAAACCCTTGTTATTCAAAGTGTGGTCTGGTGACTCTGCACCACCCATGTTTAGGTTAGAAATTTAGAATTTCAGGGTCATCCCAGACCTCCTGAGCCAGAACCTACATTTTAACAATCCCCAGGTGATTCATATGTGCATTAAAATGTGAAAATATGAAACTGTTCTTTTTGGAAGATTGAATCTTCTATGGGAGGAGTTTGGGGCCCTTTTTAAAACTGAAACTGATACTTGAATGATGTAGTCAACATGTGTGACGTTTGTTTTGACAACAGTATGGAGAACTACAGGGGATCTATACTAAACCTGAGGCTGTTTAACTTTGGAGACGAAATTATTCACTTGTAAATTGACCACCATCTACACTTTAGCTGCTGCGGCAGGGTGAGAAGTGTGTTGGCCTAACTTGAAGTCCCAGGTTTTCCTTTGATTAGGTATATGACCTTAAGCCAAACGCTTTCAACTCGCTGAGTATCAGGGTTTTGTGTGTGTGTGTGTGTGTGTGTGTGTGTGTGTGTGTGTGTGTGATTTATAAGCACCTCCTGTGTGCCAGTACGTTATCCCATTCCTTACCTGCCAAATGAGGGACAATACCTGCCACACAAGGTGTCTCATTAGGATTCAAAGAAACAATGTATGCCATGATGCTTTGCAAGTAATAAATGGAATAGGTTATGATTTAAATATCTACATAGAAAAATACATATTTATAGACTATCTACTATGATTCAAGACCTGTGACAAATTTACCTAAGTTCAGAGATATTTGTTATAATTAAAATAAGCCAAGCAAAACAGATATATTTTATGCTCATTTAAGGTGAGAGGTGTCAAGATGAAATTAAAAGAAGCACTTAGCACACAAGAAAACATGTGAACGGCCTTGTTGTTCAGTCCACCCCAGTAACCCTTTCTGCTTCCACTTTCCCAGGAATGCGCCAAGGCAATGACCACGGCTCTCAGTACCGCTCGGCCATCTATCCGCTCTCCACCACGCATCTGGAGGTGGCCCTGAGGTCCAAAGACGACTACCAGAAGGTAGGGTCTCTTCCCACTCCTGGCTGCCGCCATCGGCCCCCGCCGTCAGCCCTGCCAGGTCGACCCCACCTGTAGAGTAAGAGTCTGGTTCATTTCACCTGGCACTGTGTTCCATTTGCACATTTTTTGGTAATTTCTGTCAGCCTCTTGGAATAGAGCCACTCTGCTTCATAAATGTGCTCAATGAGGTTTTAAGAACAGACTCTCATGCATTTCTCTTTAAAATCAACTGATCCAAATGAATATGTAGCTTAGCCTATAGTCTTTCTCCCTTTCTTTGTCTCTCTCTGTCTCCCTGCATCACTCTCTTTTTCTTTCTTCTCTCTGTATTGATTTGCTCAGGTTCATAACAAAGTACCACAGACTGGATGGCTTGACCGACAGAAATGTATTTCCTCACAGTTCTGGAGGCTGGAAGTCTCCTTCTGAGGGCCATGAGAGAAGGGTCTGCTCTAGGCCTCTCTCCTTGGCTTATAGATGGTCCTCTTCTCCCTGTGTGTCTTCACATCATCTTCCCTCTATGCATGTCCATTTCTTTGTCCAAATTTCCCCTTTTTAGAACAACTGCAGTCATACTGGACTAGGGCCCAACCTAATGACCACATTTTAACTTGATGACCTCTGTAAAGACCCCATCTCCAAAGAAGGTCACATCCGAGGTCCTGGGGTTGGGACGTCAACATATGTTTTTTGGAGGCACACAGTTTAACCTGTAATGCTCTGTTTCTTGCTCATAACAGTAGATTGAATAATAATAAAGATAATTCTCAGAAATGTAGACATCACATCATAAAATAATTATTTTCACTATTGTATTATATTTTTAAATCTCCTCTGATAGAGATTCGATTCCTTTAAAAATAACTTGAGTTGCTTTAATATTGAGAACTTTGTGATAACGTTCAAATTTTAATTATTGTTATATTTTGATTTAGATTCACATTTAACAATACAGCCAGCAGCTACTGTCATGCTGATCTATTTTAGAATTATGTAAATAGTCTGATATGCAACAGTTCCTAGGAATGTGTGGATTCTCCACCTATTCCCCATGGTGGCAGAGGTGGCAGTCAGAAAGAGACAGGAATAAGAGTGTATCTACTAATGAAAAAGTCACAGGACATGCAACTCATGGTCACTTCAAGTCCACAAAGTAGAGAGGGCTAAAGGAGGTGCTGACAGGGCTTCATTTATCCCTCGGCACGCCCCTCCCTCCCTCCCTCCAAGGCTGTGCTGTCTGCCTGGGTGATAATAGTAGGAAGCCTCTAGGATGGCCCTCACCAGTCTCTGCCCATGTGTAATCTCCTCTCCTTGAGAATGGGCTAGATTTAATGACTCACCCCTATCGAATGACAGAAGTGATGAGCTATTACTTCTGAGATATGTTTATTAAAGATTGTGGCTGAAGGAAACTGGACTTTGGCTGGTAAACACACAATAGAATATACAGATGTCAAATTATAATGTACGCTTGAAAATTATATAATTATATTAACCAATGTTACCCCGCTAAACTTAATTTTTAAAAAGTTAAAATAAATAAATAAAGACTGTGGCTTCCTTCTTGAAGGCCTTTTCCTCTCACTGTCTTGGATCACTTGCCCTAGGGCAAGCCAGCTGCCGTGTTGAGAGGCAGCCCTGTGTAAAGGCTCATGTGGCAAAGGACAAAGGCCTTCAAGAACCCCCTGAGCAAGCCTGGAAGCCCCCCAACCTCAGTCAAGCCTTCAGGTGAGAACGTGGCCCCGGCTGATGGTTTGACTGCAGCCTCATGAAAGACCTCATGCCAGAGGTATCTAACCAAGCTGTGCTATAAAAACAATGAGATGATAAATGTTTGTTTTCTGAAGCTGCTAAGTTTGGGAATAATTTGGGAGTGTGTGTGTGTGTGTGTGTGTGTGTGTGTGTGTATATATATATATATATGTGTGTGTGTATAGAATAGAAATATGTACATATATATATATACATACACACACACATATATATATGTGTATATATATGTACATATTTCTATTCTAAAAACTTTTAACTGTAAATTATCTTTTTCATATTCCTTTTCATCATGACTTTTCTGATAATGGTGAGCTTACTTGGTCATATGTGGTGGCAGTTAAGCATGTAACCTCTAGCATCAAATTGTCTCGATTTGTATTTCAGTTGTGTAACTTTTATCAAGTGCCTAACACTTAGAAAGCCATGTATCTTATTTATTCAAGCAAACCTATAAGGATGAGAGATGTCATTATTATCTCCATGTTTTAGATTCCCAAAGTCATAGGTTAAGTTAGTAGAGTAACTGGAATTAAAGAAATAAGACTAGACGCAGAGAGAATTAGGCAGCTATTGTAGGACCCCAGGCCAGAAACGATGGGAGCTTTGTCTAGTATGGTCACAAAGGATGAATGAAACGAAGCGATATTTAGGAAGTAGAAGTCATAGAACTTGGAACTTGATTGAAAATGGAAAATAAATGAGGAGGAGGAGTCCAGGGTGACTTACAGGTTTCTGGCTAGTGATGATTTATATAAAAGTATGGAGGAGCCAAGGCAGCTTTGTGGAGAAGGTAAGTTAAGTTTGGAAATATGGAGTTTAAGGTACCCATGATCTGGACATCCAGATGATTGCTAAGAGGAGACATGGGCTGTTCCTACCTTGCGGGGAGAGTGGTTGTCGATGTTAACTGGGTTGATGGTTGTAAAGGACAGGGTCTGGCACATAGTAAGTGCTCAACAAATGCTAATCCTTATTCTTATTGGGAGTTAACTTATATTTGGTAAATGTAGCCCAGGTCACTGATGCGATCACTAGGAAAAGTGATGAGATGAGAGGAGAAGGCGTAGGACCTGAGGGACACCAGCATTTGAGAGATGGGTAGGGAAGACACTGCGCTTGGCTTGGTAGAGCATCTGCCCCAAGCAAGAATTTAACAATTAGTTCTATTTGGTTTAATCTCACTCTATTTAATTATAAAGGCAATGTTAGTAGTTAATACTTAAAGTTGCCTATGATAAATGCTATATATAAATTGTCTATTGTAATGATACACAGTCCCTTAAGGTACCAGTGGTAATACTAAGAAACTCTGGAAGAATATTAATTTCCCTCCAGTGCCTTCCATGTGTAATGAAAGGCTAACGTAAACCTAATATCCTGGTTTCTACTACAATAAAGTTTCTTACCCGTACCTCTGAGTAGAACCCACTTTGGTTGTAGATAACTTATACACATATGAAATTAAATTTAGTTATTAAATATGAACTGTTCTAATATTTTTCCCATTGCTCTCATAGATTTGAGGAAATGTTACTCTTTTATTCTAGACAGTTGTTCTAACCAAATGCTTTTTGAGTATTCTGTACCTAAGCATATGGGAATTAAATACATACATCCATATCCATATATACATTTTTTCTTGGTTTTTAAAAGTAGGGTCTTTTTTGCATAAACACTGAGGTTGCATGTGCCCCCAGCATTCAGATAGCCACTGCTGTTAACTTAATCACATATAACTGCATTATCACCAACTCAGAGAACAAATACTGTCACATCTTTTTTATTTTATGTGTAAGTAAAACTGGCGCTGGATTCCACTGAAGGCAGGGCACATCAGTCTGGCTCCCTGGCCGGGAGACTCAAGATTCCAAGCCTTTTACTCTTATGTTGGCTCATTGCCAAGGCACGACTGCCAAGGAGCATGGGGCCTCATGGCCCTCAGAGGTGCAGCTCTAGGAGCTGCTCTTCCCTTTTCTTTTCGGGAGATACACAGCATGAGGGTCAAGTAGTCTTCCTTTCAGCCACCATTGGAAAGAGCTGATTACTGAAAACCACAGCCCTGGGGACTCTCGGCTGATCTCAGTCAAGTGCAAAGCTCTTTTAATTCCCAGCACAGCGATTGCTCAAGGGCCCCCACCCAGAAGCCCTGAGTCAGGATTTGTCCCTCTGTCCCTTGAGCACCGAGAACTACCATCCCCACTCCATTTTTCCAGATCTACACCATGAGGGATCAAACATTTTCCTGTTCAGGAACCAAAGAACAAAGTGTCTTATTGTGTCACCCACCCTGATGAACAGGAGGGCTAAACTGTGCACCTGCACATAGGTGACCATTGTGGTTTTTATTTTAGTCTGGGTACCATGGGAAGCAGAGCCCGTGACAAAGTCTTGTGTGTGAGGACTTACTGGGGCATGTGTGGCCATGGAGCAGGAATAAAGGGAAGGAGGTTGCAAAAGGAAAGGAGGGAGAACCAATTTAAGTCGGCCCCTGCTATCAGTAACCGGTTGTTTGGACCAGTCATTCTGGGGGGCGGTTTACGCTCTGTCTCTAAGTTGCATGTGTGTAGGCTCAGGCTACTGTGCCCCTGGGGCAGGATGCAGGAGGCAAGAGGCATGTGGCATGGATGTGAGGTGAGGCGCTGAAGGGTCACACCTGTATAACGTTAATTAGAGTCCATGCAGAGCTGAGCACTGCAGCAGGCAAGAAGAGAAAGGTGAGCCCAAGAGGATCTGAGCTGGTGCACGAGAGGTGGCCAATATGACGACCTACAAGTGGTCTTTCCCCCAACCCCACCCCATCCAGGCTGGCAGCTGACTAGAATGTCTCAGGTTTACCACGATTCCGTGACTTTCTGGCACCTCTGTGAGAACAGAGAAAGGAAAATGCAAGTTAATTTTCAGCTCATCTTCATTTGTTGAACTGGGGATTCTAGAAAATAATAATAATAATAATAATAATAATAATAATAATAAAACAACAATAGTACCAACTGAGTACTTCCTACATGCTAATCACTGTTTAAGCACTTTATTTAAATGAAGTCTAAATGAAGTCATTGATATATTTCTGACTATATTTATCTGTGTACCTAGATAAAGTGAATATGTTTAGCTATAGATATGTGTGCATCTTTCTTATCCTTATGTAAAATTGTATGCATTCATGTATCTCTTGTTTCTAATTTTGAAACTTGTATGGATTTCTAAATGTCCATTCAATTGGTATA